CACAAATAGTATGTCCATTTTTCTACTTTCAGCGGATGCGTTTATCTGAAGCATCTATCAATTTTTTTTTTTTTATATTCGAACTACCACGAAGGCCTAAGGCCTAAGCACCCATTGGGTACCGTGGGGCTATGGGGGATACATGGGAAAGGGGGGACGCCACACGGACTCTGGCGAGGGAACACGTGTGCATGCAACATGCACACATTCTGGCTCCGCCTACGAGATCCGCCGGGTGGTACCTCCGCGTTCGACAGTCAGAGACCATCTACCACCTACGGACAATCACAACATCCATAGCCAAGAGAAAAATTTCTCCTGGGACGGGACTCGAACCCGCACAGCGCACGGCGACTGATCAGGAGACCGAAGAGTCTACCACTGCTGCCTAAAATGCTCGAAAGCAAAAATATCTGAACAAAAGGGTTGTGTTTCGTGAATTCACGTTTTTTTTAGTAATGTAGTAAGAGATCAAAGCTAAATAGAATTCTAGAAAAAATTGTATAGACGGATATTAAGTTGGATTTATATTCTTAGAAATTAATGGAAAAGGTCTTCTGTCTAGAATGACAAAAAAATGCTAGGTAATTTTTCATTAAACGTCAAAGACGGAAAAAACAAAAATTACTTTTTCGCGTATATTGAAAAAACTATGAACTATCGGTTCAATTGGTCCACAGGAGTGTGGGGGAGTAAAGACCTTTAACATGAGACGTCATATGTCTAATTTGTTGCAGCCGCTACGTCACCACGCGTAGGTAGATGGAGTGTAAAGATGATCATCAACCACAGCAAATGGCGTCAAATAGGTAGATTAATGAAAAAATTGAGATTTACCCTCCCCACCCCCACAACCCCCCATCTACTAATTTTTTACTCCTTTTTTTAAAATAAGATCAAGATCCTCTGTAACGTCAACAAATGCAGTATGAACGATTTTTATTTTTTGTTTTAGGTCATTTTCTCCGTGACTAGACCGATTTTTAAAAACTACAAAGTGTTTTCGACCTGGGTGTAGTAGTAATCCTGTGTAAACATTTCATCCAAATCCGAGTAGCACTTCCAAGTTATTGAGGGGTCACTGGTTAACGGACAGACCGACAGAAATGAGTGACATGGTGTTTCGAGATGTACATACAGGGTGACAGGGTGGCGCATCGAAAACTTAACAGACGTATTTACTGGCAGCTCAGTTTTTTTTTGGAAAAACGCTCAGACCCGTCGGTTTTGTTTTCGAGGGGGGACACAAGTTTGGCAAAAAATCACGTTAGCACGTGCAGCCCCCTAAGCGAGGGTGCCACCACCCCCAAAATCTTAAATGGAAAGGGGGGTCGAGTGATAACTTATTGTAAAGGTCTTTCAATTCTCTTTATAATGATATAAAATTAATGTACTTCAGTTCAGTAGTTTTGAAGATTTATGGATTTAAAGCTTAAATAAAACTAATACATCATCATTAGTGGAGATCAATACATTTGGCAGCAAACTAATTTCAAAATGAAGAATGAACTGACTCGTTAGGCAAGTAAATGTTGAAAATGGCCACCGTGACTCTCCATGCAATAATAAAGATTTTGCTCAAAACGTTGCCGCACATTTTGCAATATTTGAGGAGTAATTTGACGGCACTCATTCACAATTCTTTGTCGCAGGTCTTCTAATGATGTTGGCTAAGTAGCATAGATTTTTCTTTTTAAATGACCCCACATAAAGAAATCCAAAGGTGATAAATCCTGCGATCTTGGGGGCCATTCAATGGCACCTCTTCTACCAATCCATCGATCTGGAAACGTCTGATCTAAATATTGTCGGTAATGCGTGCGTAATGTGGTGGGGCACCATCCTGTTGGAACATCAACCTATTCGCAATGTACCGCCGATCATTCTGATTTTCAATTATGGCTGTTAATGCAGGATCTATGGCGTCTTCCAGTAATTCCAAATACATTTCACCGGTCAAATTTCCAGGTAAGAAAAAAGGACCAACTAAATGATCGACAAAAATACCAGCCCAAACATTTAATTTTTGTGGCTGCTGTGTATGAACCTCATGTTAAATTCTGGGATTAGAATCGGACCAATATCCGCAGTTATGACGATTTACTACGCCATTTAAGAAAAAGGAACATTTGTCGGAAAAGCAATTGTTGAATAGAAAATGTTCATCGTTTATAATTCGTTCACTCATATCTTCACAAAATTGTGATCGCCGATCAAAATCGTCTTCATTAGGGTCTTGTACCAGGTGAATTTTATACGGATGAAAACTATGGGCCTTTAGAATCCGTTGGACAGTGCGTCGACTAACACCACACACAGTCTCCAATTTGCGGGTACTTAACGTATGATCTACATAAACTTGCCCTAAAACCTCCACTTCTATTGCTTCGTTCCTTATGGGATTTTCAATGTTGCGTTTTTTATTGACGACTGACCCAGTTTCCCGAAATTTCCGAAAAATATTTCGATAATTTCAACTCTTTCTGCTGTGGAATATACCATGGTTAATTTATGTAATAAAGCGTTACACGTTATTTTAGCAACGAAGTTTGGTCAAATCAATCGCAAACTATGTACTAAATTCCTATTTAAAATAAGTCCGAGATATTTCCTTATCTTTCTTCAAGAAATAACTTTTTTGCCACAAAAAAACGCTCCAATAGCTATTTTCAACAACAAAATGATAAACAAACCATGGGCGTAGTGAAGAAAAGCATTTACTTATTAAGTAAATTCTTTTAGTCAAATTTCTTCTGAAAGTAGTACAAACTAATCTGATGTACCTACTTTAAGCTATAAATCAATAAATCTTCAAAACTACTGTACTGAAGGTCATGTATTTTACATCATTATAAAGGGAATTGAAAGCTTTAAAATAAGGTATCACTCAACCCTCCTTTCCATTTAAGATTTTAGGGTTGGTGTCACCCCCGCCCAGGGGACTGCATGTGTGATTTTTTGCCAAATTTGTGTCCCCCTCGCAAACAAAATCGACGGGTCTGAGCTTTTTCCAAAAAAAAAAACTGAGCTGCCAGTTTATACGTCTGTTTCGTTTCCGAAGCGCCACCCTGTATATGTCACAATAACATCTAAAAAACATATCTTATTATAGATATTTTAGTCGTTTACAATATTTTCTCGCCTAGCGGCGTAGGACGAAAACATTTATTGACAATTATAAATTTTCAGAAATTGTTGCACATTTTTTTTGTGTAATGAGAGGGGGACGAAGTTTATAGAGTAGGGAGTTTAGAGTATATGTACTCTGAGATATAGTGATAGAGTTATTGATTTATAAGTTCTGCCTTAAAAAAGGGGAGATGACATGTATGGAAGTCTAAAGTACCACTTTTCATGTGTTCATAAAAAGCATGTAGTTTTTGAACAAGCTAAAATTCCATCCAGTTCAGAAAATAAAACAGTCGTTCTCTCGCACTGGTTTTAATAGGTAACAGAGTACACGAGCAAGGAATGTCTTATGTAGTAATTGAACTGCTTCACGAGATATAGCACCATGTATCACCGTCTTCGAGAAATCACATTCAATATTGCTCAGTTCAGGCAGATAGAAGCCCACATACACTCGTGCGTTGAACAAGATAATTCAATGCTGTCACATAGATGCAAAATGATCGTGGAAATATTGATAATACAATGCGCATGTGCATGCAATTTAAAGATTTTTTTACAAGCACCTGGAATCTATTGTTTCAAAATTTTATGAAACACGTAGACGCCTGACATATTAAAGTCCATAAAAGTGGTTATAGCAAAAACGCATTTTCAGTCAGAGGCCAGAATGCCGAACCAGTGAGGGATGTAGCTTTCGGGGCAGGTTTGGTGAACTATCGTTGACAACCGGGCTAAAACCAGAAAAAAATTTGCTCGCTTAATACAGTGTTAGCCACGAGTATCAGACATAGTACCAACAAATGAAATCCAATATGTTCCAATGGAGCGATGTGTTTGTGAGCATACAGAAAAAAGTATCCCATGACCATTTCACTATTGGACCTTTTCTTTGCCTACAGATTCTCCGTAATTTTAGATGACGGGTAGTGCTATAAATAAGATTATGCTATTGATATTTTAAAATAGCAATTCAAAACATAAAATATTGCGAATGTCATTAAAATATAAGAGATACAATTTGACGCATAGCTTGAAAGCTTTATATGAATGTATTTTCGTTTCTGGTACACTCTGCAAATACAAAAATGGTTGCGTTCAATTATCTTCGCGCCGCATTCTACTATTTTACAAGGAAGCACTGTTATACAACGGATATTATATCAGGAATGAATGTTAGTGTGGTAGAGATCATAACAAAGAGTACAAAAATACAACATTTATAGCATCACATTTTCAAACGGAATGCAATAGGTATTTAAAGATTTGATATTACTAAACTAGATGATCTTACTGATGTGTTTCATTATTCAAAAATGTATCGAATGGAAGTAGAAGTGGAGTCAGACGAACCAGAGGAGTTCTTTCCTCTAAAGTCTAAAGAATTTTTGGCAAAGTTGTATAATTTTGCATTAGATACCTGCGAAATGTTAGTCAAATTAGTGTGACATGCACCTTTGTCTACATTTTCTTGCTCTCCTGAGTCACAGAGTATGACGCCAGCAATTATCTGTTCAATGCATGACTTAAAGTAGAAAACTAATTTTGCAAATACTGCTTAAATTGCCTTCAAATCAGGTGTACAACTGGGCGTAATAATTAAGCGACTCGGGATTACGGCGAATCACAGAGTGAGCTTATGGCCTAAAGATTGACCGAAAGCGATAACTTGTTCAAATAGAAGGGATTTAGTTCAAGTTTCGATAATTTGGATAACGTTATTGCTTCAGATTGTATGGTACATACTGCAAAATGTTTGTTTCGAAAAAAAAACTAGCTATCGTAGGCTTCAATTTATTGGTAATTGAAATTGCGTGCCGAGAGTAAAGCACCCGGAGCTAAAATCATTAACTTTCAATTCGGTATTCTAGATCAAAGCCCTGCTGTACCGTGTATTCAAACACAGAGGATAACGAATGTATCGGATACCCATTAATTAATATGTGTATATCCAATACAGATTCATTACCGACTTTTATTTACTTTCAAAACGATGGACGTTTATCATTTTAATTTTTCAATTAACGGAAAATAGAAAGTACCTGAACAAGGAACAGCATCTTATTCAATGAAAATAAGACTCCACCCACTGACTACATAGAGGATTCCTACAGAGAAGGAGAGTGAGGAAAGGTAAGCTAATTTTGGAACACATAACTATTAAAATTTGGAAAGAAGACCTGAAGATTTGTAATGATTTTGCGGCCATCACAAAAAACTAATGCTCAAAGTTATGTAAATGAAATGTAACATCTAATTTACGTTTTTATCAATATGAGAAAAATGCTTAAGTGATTGCCCTAAAACTTTCGGTACAATTGGGTATTCTAGATAATTACACCGCGTATCGGTCAAGCTATTATAAAAAAGGTACTAGGAAAGGCGTATGCAAATCGTGTGCAAGTATGACATTTTTCATCTTACAAAATTTAATTTAAAATTCTGGTTCAAAGAAATAAATGAGACGGCCATTAACATCAAATAAAGATACACTGATGGGAAAAATAATGGCATGAAATAAAAATTGTGAATATTTAGTGCTTTTTGAATTGTATGTAAAATGAATGTAATAAAAAATATGTAAGAAATGGTCTTATTGATGTTATAAAAGAGGCATTTTAAAGCCAGTTTAGTCGAGTTTTTCAATATTTTAGTGAACAAATCTTGGACGATGCTAGTTCTACGTAATCTTAGGCAACAATATGAAGAAAAAAATGCGATTTGTTTCCACATTTTTCTTTCAAAGAGCGTTAAATTCGTTTCAAAAGATTTTTACATAAAATTTGAACACCTTTTGTAAAAAGCTGAAAAAATTAGTCGTTTTCCAGGTAAAAGCTTTTAGCAGCAACACACGTGGACCCTTTAATTTTTTAGGAACTTTGATTGTTCAAAACAAAAAAAAGCTTCTGGAATTTTACAGGGTTCATAGGCTCAGCATTAGCCATTTTGTCAATATTTGCAGTTTAGCCATCCAAAAAGAGAAATAATCCTGTTTCTTATCAGTCCATATGAAAGATGGCAAAGCTTTTTTCAAATAAATGATCATTGATCCTCTTAAAGAATGTATTCCAGCTTTTGACCGTAGCCCTTAGGTTTTCTGTATGTTGATTTGTTCCTGAGATATCGATTATCGAAGGCAAAATGGTAATTTTCCATTAAATATTCGATATATCAGTAAGAAATGTTTCTAAATAGGTTTAAAAAAAATTGGAAAATAAAGACGCTATTAAGTAGATGCAATGTTTTAGCGGAAAACATTTTTCAAGTCCATGGACTCAGAGAAAAGTATAAAAACAATATAATTATTCTTCACACTTTTTCCTAGAAATGCGTGAATCTAGCAACCTCAACAATTTTATGACAAACAGATCCAAAAGTGGTTCTCTCAACAGGACCATTTTATACTCAGATACACACTTCAAATAAACACTAAACATTCAAAATCTTTATTCGATCCTTTATTTTTTCCATTAGTGTGTATCTTTCAGCTGAAGTATTAGGCTGTCCGAAAATATCACTTCCAAGGCATTAATATAAAATTCTGAGATATGACTAGTCCGTTAATGGTAAACTCAACCAGTAGATTGATTTCCAAGAATACCATCACATGAGGCCTCAACTGGTCACTGTGCTATTAAAAATCCCTTTCTCTTGAATTCAAGCACAATGTTTTGTAAACACCAGGCAAAATTAGTTAAACCGTGATATGATTCTTTATAGCAGAGTAGCCGCGTAGACAGAAGTCTAAATACCGGGTGACCGCGACCGCTATAAAAAGTTTGTTAATCTGATTTTTGAACTACCTAAGGTTAGCAGAACTGGCAGAGCTTAGGAATAAAGAAGCGGTCATATCGGCCAGTCCTGGATATACGAAGTTGGACATGGTTAGGATGGGAGGCCAAAGGCTGACGGGTCTAGTAGGCTCATCTCGTGTCAGCATTATGAAGAGCAGAAAAACGATAGAAGAGGCCCAGATCGTCGACTGCCCGTCGGTGCAAAAGGATCATGAGAACGCGTTAGGTGAAAAGCTATTTGTACCTTATTTGTGTATTTTGAATTTCAAATTGGCTAGAATAGATGCTGTATTCAGCAGTTTTGTTTATATACAGAAAAAAACCTTTGTCCTACAGATAGAATCAAAGAAACTCTATAAAAGGGAATTAATGCATATATATATATATATATATATATATATATATATATATATATATATATATAGGTGAAATATTAAAGCTCCGCCTTTTGTTGGGTACTTCGACAAAATTTAAGCAAAGAGGACTCTTTATACTTTTTTAATTCTCTCTAGCTTTCAATGGACTTTGCCATCATCATCAGGAGAGTAGTATGTGAGGATGTTGCTAATTGTTGTTTACGTATAGGATGAGGGAAATGTTTTTTAAATAATTTTTAATCTGTTTTTAACTTGTTCTTGTCACATTTTATATAATTTTGACCATTGTACCATCTATCCAGCTCTCACCATGTTACTGGACGTTTCCCTCATCCTATACTATTTTATTTTGATTTCGAGTAATTTCGAATAAGTAATTAAGTCACTTTTGTATTTGTGTGTGCGGAGTGCCGATAGATATAAAATAATAAAATGATTTTCGTATTTGAAAGCTTCAAAAATGTTGTCTGAGTAACTTTTCCTTCCACCTTGATATAAAATCATTCTTTGAAACAATTAGAAACTTTTCCTTCCACCTTGATATAAAATCATTCGTTGAAATAATTAGAAATCATGTATAATATAATCAGTCACGTAACTTTTCCTCTATTTTACCAATATTGTAGCCCACACCCTATCTTTTTACGGGACACACTATATTTCTTACGATTCACTTCCAACCATTGTTGCATGATAATTTTTTGTTCAAGACGACTTACATTTCACTTGAAGCTTTTCTTGCTAGCTAACAAAAAACTGAAAACCAAAAAAGGGGCATTCTCCTTGTTAAAGAAAATGATGTGAGCTCATATATAAATGTTGTATTTTTGTATACTAATATCATCAAATTTTGTATAAGTTAAAGAAGATCGGCAAAGGTCTATTTTTAAGATGAATGTTCCTTAAAACGAGATTATTATGTGCATGAGAGGCTAGACGATCGAATTTATAAATTAATCATCCATTGAATTTTATAATAGCCATTTGACCTTTTTGTTTTGTTTCAAAAACCTATTTCTTTCAAGTGAAACGTGCAACACTTATAAGTGTTTGGAAAGTGCAAAAGGATGTGCTGTGTATGCTGTGTATCTGGAAAGAAATTACAAAAATGCCTGTCTTGGGAATTGTTGCACAACAACAAATATTGCTTCTCACGATTCCTTCAAGGGTTGGCAACTATGCGAGAGCTATGATACGAACCTTTGAATATTAAAGTACTGAGTATCAGATGAACGAGAAAAATTAAAATCACGTCTTGATAATACAATTTTCCGTTATCTGTATATCAATCACATCTATTATATAATCAAAAATGATGCATACATCGGGTTAAATCGTAATTAGATGACCTTTTTTTTCGAAATTGAGGGCTATCATTCCAACACGTTTCCATTATTTGAAGGTTATTTGTTGGTTTTATTAATACCCAGTACTAATTTATCCGTTAGTTCATTCATACCTCTTCAGTCCTTTAATAAAATTTTCAATGCGGCCATCTTTGTTGCACTATAGCAGTATTTCATAAGTTTGCTATTATTGTGAGATATTTTTTTATTAGGAAATAATTTTGCCACAATTATACTACAAACAAAAATGGACGGAATCTATGAGGTGTATGACATATTTATTGGCACAGTCAGACCCAAATTCAGAAGCTGATAACATTTGGACATTATTTAAATTTTACAGGAAGATTCTAGCCTCAAAAATATTGAATATGATTATATTGTTTACGCTTTAAATAACATCTTACTTGTTCGATTGCAGTGATTTATCTTTCGACACAAATTTTGTATGTTACAATTTAGTTCTCTAACTGTTGGAGATATATTATGTTGTTCTAAGAGTCCTTTGGTAGATACGGTTAATATTTCTCATGAATTTTTATCAACTTTAGTATAAATCCAGTAAAAAAATCTTAAACCAAGCTTTTTAGTTAAGACAAACAGAGCTTTTCAGAAAAGTTCTCCCTCTAATTATACTAAGTGACATATAAATCCGAACACCCAGTTTAAATGGTTTTATTTTAATAAAATTTTGTATAAGTACTTAATGAAGCATAATAAGTAAATGATAAAAATTTCAAAATGATTGCACTGCTTTAAAGCCCTTTGACCTTTAATAATGTGTGGATGCACCCTGATGTGCTACACGTTCTGATCAGGTGGTCAATGTCCTCCTGTGGTATCTCATTCCAGGCAACCACCAACTCCTCTCGAAGTGCTTCTAGAGTCTGAGGAGGACGTTGCAAATTGAGCAATCTCCTACTCATCATATCCCACATAAGCTCAATTGGGGATAAGTCGGGAGATCTTGGTGGCCATGGTAACAATGTGACATCATTATGTTGAAAGAAGTCTATTGTGACTCTTGCAACATGTGGTCGGGCATTATCTTGTTGGAAAGTTGGATCTGCCAGGGTGTCAAGATAGAGTAAAAGATGGGGTTCTAGAACTTCGTGCATATAACGCTGCGCGTTCATGTTACCTCTGATGAAGATTAAAGGTGACCTGGAACCATAAGCTATAGCACCCCAAATCATAACTCCAACAGTGTGATGAACATGTCTTTCAACAAAAAACTGTGGATTCCTCCTTTCACCACGTCGCCTTCTAACCCTGGCACGACCATCGTGCATGCCTAAACAAAATGGAGACTCGTCACTAAAGACAATACTGTTCCATTCCTGATCCCAGAGTGACCGTTGTCTGCACCACTCAAGGCGATTACGTCGGTGTTCTCGAGTTAAAGGGAGGACCCAGTGTGGCCGGTATGAAAACAAGCCAAAACTTCTCATTCGTCGGTAAACACTTCGCATGCCAATAGGTCTTCCGTGTTCTGCAAACCATTCATTTGCAATGTACCTGGTAGTGGAGAAACGGACCCTTAAGGCCAATAATCTTAGGCGGCGATCTTCACGGTCTGTTGTTCTACGGCGGCGTAGAGTGCCCCTTGCTCTTTGCGTACGGCCTTCTCGAAGCCATGCCTGACAACACCTAACCACAGTGTCTACACTTCTTTGCACTCTAACTGCAATTGCCCGAAAAGAAAGTACAGCTTCCCGAAGTCCCACTATACGGCCCCTATCAAACTCACTCACAAGTTGACGAAATCGTACAGGTCTCCGTACTCTAGGCATCGTAACCGATCGTAAAGGATGTCAAGAACCAAAATCCGCCAACGTTGATTCTTTACTGCGGCTGAAATATTCATTTTCAGAGCGTTAGTGAATTAAAAAAAAGCAGTATATAAACCGGAATGTCCAACTGATAAGGCTGAAAATTTTTTCACTTGTTATTTACAGTAAGATAAATACATTCACCAACTTTTATTAAAATAAAAACCATTTAAACTGGGTGTTCGGATTTATATGTCACTTCGTATATTTTCTAAACAGGCCAAGTTAGGATGCTGAGACTTGGGGTTGATGAAATTGTTTCATCAATACGTACGGGTTGTCAAACTTGAGCGTTTTTGTACAATGAATCTGTTATAACTCACCAGCTAAACATTAAAACTATATAGTATGTAATAACATATCATCCTCTTTCGCAAGCGCCCATGTGAATAAGCAATAAAATATGAAGACATAGTTTACAAAAAGTTGACAGTTTGACACTTTTTTTTGATTGACTGTTCCATATTTCATACCCGATAAGGGTAGATCCTTCCAAAATGAGAAATTGTTGTACGAGTATATCGTTTTGATGAATGAATGAAAACAGTAAATTCATGTTCCAACCTAACCACCAGTTTTAACTGCCACTTTTAACGGAAAAGATAGTATTCATCCATTAATTCCATCACCCCAAATTTCAGCCTCCCAGCTTGAACAAGTCAAAAAATAGGTAGGTCCCCTTTTGAAAAGCACTGTACTATTTACATAGTTTACTTGTCATGATAATAATAATTATTGTCAGCAACTAATTCAACAATTTCACGATAGTATAGCTAATCATATAAATAACCGATTCCATGCATCAATGCAAATAAATATTTATTAAGCTTCTAGTAGCACGTACCATTTTTGCATAACTACAAGGGACTGTGAAACCAACTTCTTATTGCTTATATCTATATCGCTGTTTGTTTCAAGACAGCAAACATCTTTTATTGAAATATATTCATGAAAGATTGCTTGCGAAAATAAGAAATGATTTTCTTTCTCCTTTGTTTGTTTTCTTCTTGCCTTGGGTGATACGGAGTTCACCGCGTAGACTCTATATTTGCTGCGGAATATATTTTTATTTATTTTCCAAATAAACACCATATGCTCTTCCAAAATTAGGAGAGAGTATACGCTATAGTGCAACAAGGCTAAAACGGGAATTTCTACATCACACTGCATTTTTCATTGAAAAATGCTGTATCTCCAATCTGACAATTGACGCTCTGTCCTTTTCATTGGCAAATTCAATATCTGGTTCAACATCAACACCCCGATATATAAACATGGTACCAAAAATTCATATGTTAGTTACGAACTCAATGAGTGACCTCAAAGGCTATAAGGTTACAGAGAGCTGAAAAATTAGTACAGTGGATACAGTTCGCCTGTGGATTGAATTTGGAATATTTTAGAGATAATCTATACATCTAGGGCGATCAGTGGGAGGTTATGACGTGAGATATAAGCGCTGCGGGCTCTAATTCGGCAAATGAGATAAACGCTTGTTACGTTCGAGATGTATGTACATATGACTGTCAAATGTAACCATATAGAGGTGGAATATGTATTTACTGACATTTTTTGGCGACCTTGGTGGCCTTTTCAAAGTACAAAATGACAATGACAATATAATTTAATTATTTAGGATCTAGGCTCTTATAATATCTCTAAACTATACAGAGTGTCCCGAAAAGTAGTGACTAGCATAAGCCCAGAAGTAAAGCACCCTCTTAAACCCATGTATATTAATCGAGTTGTTTGCATTAGGCGTTATGATTTTTTTCAGAAATTTTC